AGTACATTTTATAAAATGTTTACTTCAATGGTAGGCCTAAAAGGTATAATTAATTAAAATTGTTTAAATAATTTTTATTAGAAACTTATATAATTTTTTTTACAAATAATAATAATAATAACTTTATTAACGGATAGCCATATACAAATTACAATTTACAATAAATCATGTATTGCTTACTTATAAGTTAGATTACATATTTTTAATTTATTCAGAGAACAATTGAAAAAATCTAAATTTAGATCATTTGCCTCGGAACAGATTCTACCTAAGGGCATAAATTTACCATAAGTAGTCCTATGGGTCTTTATATAAAATAATTGCTGTTTATTTGCTCTAACAAATCTGGGCAATTAATAAAATTATTTAAAAGTTTATATAAAAATAAAATGCTAAATTGACTTCTTCTTTTACCAAGTCGATCCAAATTGACAATACTTCTAACTAAGTCTAAGGAATAAGTACAGTCAATGTTCAGCTTGAATGCGCAAAATCGCAAGAATTTATTTTGTACTCGTTCGAGTTTAACCTTATTATTCTCATAATAAGGTGACCAACCAACACAACAATACTCTAGGATACTGCGCACGAATGACATATACACATTTTTTAAACATTGAACATTATTAAAATCCTTAAGACTACGTTTGACAAATCCGAGCATCTTTAAAGATCTATTTACAATATAATCAATGTGATAGGAAAATGTTATTTTGCTATCAAAATAAACACCCAAGTCTTTTATTTTAGTGACTAAAATAATATTACCTAGAGAGTACGGAAACACAATATTTCTTTTAATTCTATAAAAACTTATACACTTACACTTATTAACATTAAGATTCATCAAATTTTTTTCACACCACAATTGTAATTGATTGGGATCTAACTGAATATTATAGCAATCATTAAAATCTTTAATTTCTTTATACAGCTTTAGGTCATCTGCAAACAACAAATATTTACATACTTAATATCACAGCCAATATCGTTAATAAATAGATTAAATAGCAGTGGAGAAATATGTCCACCCTGAGGTACACCAGAAGTAAACCTAATTGTTCTGGACTTATATTGATTTTGAACTATTACAGTTTGAATTCTAGAATCTAAATAACTTTTTAACCATAAATAAAAATTTCCTGTAACACCTAATGCATTTATTTTAGCCAACAAAATTGCATAGGATTATTGCAAACGAGTCGTGAGTTAATTTTTTTAATGTTGTAAAATGCAAACGACTCGTGACTTAATTCTTCTAATGTTGTAAAATTCTTAGGTTATAAAACAAATAATTTTTTGTTTAGTTATTATCTACAGATTTTAACAATGATTTCTATCCAAAAAATCGATAAAAACTCATTGACACATTTGACGTAGGTAGTTTGACTTTAATATAACCAATAATTGTTTAAATTATATTGTATTTTTTAATAAATAAATAAGTTTTAAAATGTGCACTAACGGTACACCACGATGTAGGCAGGGTTATATTAAGTATAAAAAATTGAATAGTTTTTGAATTGAAACGATTTACGACTTGAATTTAATGCTTGTTATTTTAATGTTTTAATGAAATAAAAGAATAAAAAACCATTTTCTAAACACAAAAATTAAAAGTTACAATTCTGTGGGTAAAAAGAGCCTTTAACGTGTTCGCATTAATTCAGGAAATATATTTATGTTTAGCGGGTATACGCTTTTGTTAGCATATGGCATGGGCTAATAAAAGGGTATTCCCGCTAAACATAAATATGTTTCCTGAATTAATGCGAATACGTTTAAGGCTCTACTGAAAAATTGCTTTTTTTTTACTTATCCCCTTATGCCTTTTACCCACAGAATTGGTTAATAATAACACAGTTATGATGTATTTACATTTTTTTTAAATACACTGTCAAAATAGTACATTTTACTAAAATGATTTTAGACCAGGCAAAGAAAGCACATATCGTCGAGTATTCATTGCACACAATGTGTGCTAGGAAATTAATAAGATTTCGCAGACGCGTGTTATATACTAAATTTTTTTTTCAAGCATTACATAAATAATTTCTTATGATTCTGGTCATCATTTTGAGGTTAGGTTCAACTGACATACAACTTCATTTCGGTACGGGTTTTAATAAAATTTTCCTTTTCAACTAGTCCTAATGTTTTTCTCTATAGACTTATGAGTTTTATAATATAAAAATTATTGTATGCTTAAAAAAATACATTTGTCAACAATGATTACTTAAAGTCTCTATGGATTTGTTGTATATTTTGTTATTTCATAAATCAGCTTAAGAAATACACATCGTTCCCAAGTTTTTTAACTTAAATGTTTAAAAAATAAAAAACACTTCGTAAAAAATTTATAATTTTGTATACTTAAAATAACCCCCCCCACAGCTTGGCATACCATTAGTGCACCATATCGGAAAACCCTATATTTTAAAATTTGTGTACATCTAATGTATTTTTTTTATAAATACCTTTTTGTATCTATTAAGAAAAATCATAAAAATATATTTTTTCTACAAACGTTTAATTAAATGTACATATACGGGGTGTACCAAAAGTCAACGATATCCTTTTAAGGACTAATAGGTCAGCTCATGACTAATCAGAATATCAAAACATGACCTTACTAAAAAATCATTAGTTTTTAAGATATTGTCATTTTTATGAATTTTGTGAAACTTTACACCTAAGATCAGTTTTTCGAGTGCCACAGTTACAAAATTCTATAATCTTAGATTATACAAAATTCATAAAAATGACTATATCTCAAAAACTAACGATTTTTTACTAAGGTCATGTTGTGATTTTCTGGTTAGTCATGAGTTGGTCTAGCAGTCCTCCAAAGGAATCCTTTGAAAGGATATCGTTGACTTTTGGGACACCCTGTATATTTCATATACAAAATTAGTTCAATTTAATCTATGAGATGAAAAACATTAAAACACAATATAAATAAACTTTGACGCAATAAAAGAATTTTAATGGAAATTGATTTTTAACATTTTTTTATTTTGCCCTTATATAGGTACAAATTGGTTGAATATCAAGATAAATAGCATGTTTATTGGGCATACTAAAACAACTGGCAAACTTTGGCCGACAACATTTTTCTGCATGAGCACAGCTAACAACATTTATACACAAAAAAATGGTACCTAATAATAATAAACACGCGACGTAATGTTTACAGTTCCTAACTGGAAATGTGGTGTTGCGATCGGTAGATTAAATTTTATGAAACTATAACAGTAAAAATTTCAAAAGCAATCTTTACAACTACACTACTACAGCAGTAGTACTTACTAACAGTGTTTCCAGTAGTAGAAAATAATAAGTACTGAAATGGCAATAAAAACGTATTGAATTTTGAAAGATAACGTACTGACTTTTGATTTTTCTCCAGTTTTGAGAAATAAATATTAAACTTATATGAACGTAATTTTATTTTGTACTTTATCAATAAACACATAAATAAACTATAAACATCAAAAGAAGAAAATAGATAATTATTATTATACCTATAAAAAAAACAATATTGTTGGTAAAATAAAAAATAGTCTACCTATCGATAATTAATTTTCTGTTTTAACAAAGATTGAGGTATTTGGCTTCAATAATTGCTTTGCATGTAAACGTGTTCGACGATTTTTTATCTTATTTCCATGAGCAAAGAGTTCTAGGACGGTTCGTGGCAAACTTGGAACAAACCTTATGTCAACACTGAGTAGACAACGCGCGCTGCCAACAGTTTAAAACCAGGATACTAAAACAACTCAGTATCACTAACCTAAACTTTTAATTTTTTCTTTAATTTTTATTTAAATAAAGAGAGAAAAATCTAAAACTGGAAAACGTACTGAAAACCATCAATGTGGTACTTGCGTACTTTTTTTAATTCGAAAGTACTGAATTCGGTACAAACGTACTGACGCTGGCAACACTGCTTACTAACTATAGGAACATTCAAGAAATTCGAATATCGATGCGCGCGCATAGTTTTTTAGTTAGCGACGGTAATAGTTGTTTACGTGTCAAGCTTTGTAAATAAATCCTTACGGGCGAGCTGGTAATTTGTGGAACCCATAATCCAGTGAGCCTCGTAAAGATTAATTGCAAAGCGTGACACATACAAACTTTTATTTTCACCTTTAGATAACGATTTTTAAAATATATAAGTTCAATTAAAGTGTTTTCTAAAAGCCTGTAAAATGAATGAGTCAAAATGACTAATTTAATAGTTAACTAGTTATTAGTGGCTGCTTCTTCATTTGAACCATGGTTAACCATGGAATACCAGTATCCCAAAATTTAATAGCCAATTCTTATGTAAAATTGTCCCCTGAATCCGAAAATACCGTCAAAATTTATGAAAGTGGAGCAGTTTTTGAGAAATAGTCATTTACATAATAAATGGGAAATTTACTATATCTCAAAAACAGTTTTACTTTTTTAATTTTTGACGACATTTTCTGATTCAGGGGACAATTTTACATAAGAATACAAGTGAAAAAGCAGCCACTAATAACTATTAAATTAGTCATTTTTGACTAATTCATTTTTAGAGAGCAAGCCCGTAAAATATTACAGGTCTGTTCTCATAATGTATCTTTTACTTAGAAACAAAAATAACAAAATTAATCTATAAAATGTCATTTACTAAGAAGGTGTAAATAAAATTTATATAATTGACCAGTAAAGATAACTTCAAAAACAATAAAAATTTAGGTTGGGTACAATCATATATTCATCCGTTGCTCCCGTATACGGGACGGTAGAATATACTTTTTTGACATTTTTACCATGGTTTTTATCTGTCAGATAATTTAGGTGCAAAATCCAGCGAAATTGCGATTGACCAGTATTACAATTTAATAAGCTATCGTTTTTCAACAGAAAGCTTATTCCATAAAACATTAACCCATAAAACCTACGGTTTTGACCTTAATGCATATTTATTTATCTATGTAGGAAGTATAATAATACAAAATACTTACAATTAATGTTAAGTGTAACCCTTTTGCTGACTGCTGGAGGCACATCATTACTGGCTATGCAGAGATAAGCACCCATTTGTTTTCTCTCCACTCGTACCAACTTTAGAACTGGGCCACTAAATGTGTCAACTGTAAATAAAAAAACAATGTTTAAAAACTAAAAAATAAACCGAATAAATGTAATGCTTAGAATATGAATGAGTAACTTTTACTTCGCAAGTTTTAGAAATTTTACCAGGTTCCACGAATTGTTACTTGCGGGAAAACTTTAATTGTGAAAGTTCTGTATTGAATTTAAATTAGTTCGTTCATAAAATCCTTAATTGGACCCAATAATCCCTAATTAGACTAAAATACGTTGATTGATTCTAAATCTGGATTCACCCTTTTAAAAATACAGAAACCAAAATTACTATTATAATAGGTATGTTTTTATGGAATACTATGTATTCAGTTTGATAAACGCCATTTTAGACATTAATTTTAATTAAATAAGTATCTAAAAAAGTTTATAAACGGGTTGCATACTATATTGTTTGAAATACAAATACCTAATATTACCTGAAAATGAATTAACAATAGAGTAACCAACTTGGGAATGTGTAATAATGTCAAATGTCAAATTTTTGAGTAAATCGAAATAAATTAGTTTATGCACGATGACATTATAATATGACAATTATAACAAAAATTCTTTGACGTAAACGTCTTTTTATAGCCCGCGGGCGTTATTATGGCCCAGCGGGCTATAATGAAACGTCAAAAATTAAAAACAACAATGTTACACCATTTGATATATTCGAAGTAAGTTTTTTCGTATAAAGATTTTGATATTACCGGCAGCAGGCCTCAATTTTTCGCCTTTTCAGCTGCTTCCTCAATTTCATTTATCTTTAAACTTTAAAACTGACTGATGTCAGTTGACATTATAATATGACAATTATAACAAAAATTCTTTGACGTAAACGTCTTTAAAAACAATAATATATTAAAAATAATAATATATTAATCGTGCATAAAGTTTTGTATGCATTGCTGGCATAACTGGTTTTTATGGTCCTACGACGCTTTTCTAGCCCTCGCGCTAACGCGCTCGGGCTCGAAATAGCGCCTCGGACCATAAAAACCTTATTATGCCCTTAATACATAAATAACTATTATCACAGGGTCGTTTTCAAAAAACACCCGCCTTCCGCTGTCCGTAAGTTTGAATTCCAATAACTTTGTTAAAAATTATCGGATCTTATTGATTTAAAAACCAAGTGAAAGCCTAACAAGCCTTTAGTGAACTCTTACAGAAAATTTTTGTTAAGTTATTATATATTTTTTTTTAATTTTGAAACTTGTGAAACACACATTTTCGCATGTCCCATTAGCGTTTTATAAAACTTACATACATGTTTTTTTAAATTGAATAACCAGAACATTGTGTTGCTTTATAGCAATCCATAACATCCTTAGTTGATACAATTTATATATAAAATAATTAATTTTAATCTACTTTTTTAAATTTGACTTATGTTCCAGACATTTTTTGCGTTGCGTTACGTCCGTTGCGTTACCATGGCCCAAGCACAAATTATTCTTATTTTGAGAATAATTGAAGAATGTTTTTTCTTATTCTGAAGTAAAGCATGAAAAGTTTAAATTAACACATCATTCTTAAAAGATAATGCTAGCTTTTAGAATTAACTGCTTAAAGGTTAACATTTCATACGTTCTTGATTTACTGAACACAATCTTAAATTTAAAGATATAGAATATTAAAAAACACATATATATGGCAACTTTTTTGGTACTCACGTGATCAACAAATGATGTTCGGACTTACACATTACCCAGCTGAATTTATTTATTCAATCAGGAAGAAGATATCGGTTGAAACAGGTGCGGGTAAAGCGAATGTAATAATTGTTTGTCCGCTAAGTTACTCAAAAAAATAATAAAAATAAGGTAAGAAAAAATACTAGTTTTCATGTTTATGTTTATTTTAGGGCACTAAAGCTCATTGAGAGTAATTAATGACTGTAATGTCTTATTATTATTTTTTAAATATGGTTTTACAAGTTTTGTCCACTTACCTTATGGTAACGCAATGGAATTTAGGGTAACGCAATAGAATTTTTCGACAACAAAGTGGATATTTACCTTCGCTTTTATTAAAAGTAGTTTATGATTAACCAATTTAAAATTATTTGTAATTACAACTCATGATATAGATTACATCCAAGAAAAAATTCCACGCAATATAAAAGTACTAAAAGGGACCTTCACCAGCTTATAGTCAAAGAAAAAGGGTGTCTACAATTTAGAAATCTAAGTTGTTATTCTGCAAGTGAGCACCACTACAAGGGATTTTGTTTATGCATTACTCTAAAATCGTACCACCCTATATATTTTCTTTTTTACGTTATCTGATTAAGTCCTTTGTGTACCCCTGTCCGTTGTGATACCAATGTCTATTTCGTTACTTCTTTTAGTTTTTGTTAAAAAAATACTTAAAATGATTTTTATACACTATCACTTGGTAGTACGTGTTTATAAATTAGAGTTTAATTCACTAATACAGTGACTAAAAGAAAATATTAATGGTATTGTTTTTTTAACAAAGAATCGAAATGGTTTCTTTTAAAAAGTAACTTAACGAGCATACATTTTTAAAAAAAGCATACAATTTTTAATAAAAAATAAAATAAAAAATTGGAGTAAAAAATTTGTGAACTAAGTACATTTTATTTCAAATTGGTAACACAGTGGAGATATATAAAGCTAACTAAACACATTTTTCTGAAAAAAACGTAAAAAAATTAAAAAGTGCACTGCCTGTCTTAAATGTAAGTAAACAAAACTCTAAACGTTTATAAAAATCCAACCAAAAGTCAATTTAAGCAAAAAAAATATTTTGATCTTCATTTTTCTGAAAGCGGGTGTTTCTTGAAAATGACCCCACAGTGAAAGTTAAGAAATTTTTTTATTATAAAATATTAAAAATACATTTTTTTACTGATAAATTTGAAAGGTCTATCAAATGGTAAATAAAAAATATTTTTTCTACTCCCACCTTTAAAACGCCCATTATCAAACACGTTTCCATGACACTAAGTGACCTTTTAAATACATATTAACAAGTTTTAGTTTTAGTCACGGGCTGACGTTGGCAGTTGTCAAATGTCAAACAAACGTTAAAATAAAGTACCTTTCTCGTAAAATAATACTAAATGTGAAAATTATTTTATTTTCTCAATACAAATAGGTATATACAAAAGTATTAAATAGTTTCTCAACGCTAATATTTGAAAAGATTATATGAACATTGTACTGACCTTTTAATTTCGCCGGCACTAGCTAGATATAACTTAAATTCGGGCTCGGACTCCCCTGTAAAGTGCTCATAAAACATTTTCTTTACTTTCAGTGTGAGAAACTGTTGTTAATCCATTTTCAAGGAATACATTTCATAACCTTTATAATCTGTGTTTATAACACATACAAATTTGACATTAGAAGGTAACACAGATTTCCCTATTGTCGTAGAACTCCTTTAAAACTTTTCTAGACCCTCATTAATTTAAGCACTTGCTCGAAAGATCGCTCGCGCCTAAATTAAATTCGTGTCTAAAATAAAGTTTATCAAACTTAATACCTAATACTTTTATCTACTCCTACATTGACGAGCTTTGACTTTATGGCGTTTTATTCACGCTTTATTATAAGTTAGCAAAAAGTGAGGTTAAATCCTTAACAGATATCAAAGGTTTAAGAAATAAAATTGGCCATGAATTTTTCCTTGTGTTCGTCGTAGATAAACTTCTCTAGAGACTCGTTTTTATTAATCACTCGCTCGCAAGCTTTGCTCGTGCCTAATAAATCTCGTAACTAAAATGGTGTTTATTAAACTTGATACCTAATATACAATAAAATGAAATACTTATACGTAGCTGAAAATGCAAACGGAAAAGATTAGAAAATAAGTTCTGAAAAATCGGATTTTCATATATTTCAAACTGTCTGGTTCCGGCTAAAGCAGAAATATACAACTTTTTTGCAGCACTGAATCTATCATAAAATAAATACGTGCCAAGAATAATATTTACAAATATTATGCGACTTTTTCCAAAACCAGACTGGGTCATTTCAAAAGGGGATTATACATTAATATTCAGTGGAACACATCGTATTCTAAAATGAAACGTGGTACAAAATAGTCAGACTTTGCGTATAGTAATTTAACTATTTAAATAATGTACACAAAAATACAAATTAGGCGAATTCCTATTTGTTTAAACTTGTTATTAGTGCATTTTTTTATTTTTTTATTTTACTGTAAAACAATACTTATTATTATTTACTATTTTTAAAAACACCGTAGCGGACCAGGGGAAGCCCAAGAACTTCATTAAAAATTTTATTATATCATAAAATTTTAAACTGTACAATGAAACTATTGAATTTTTTCTTAAAAATTACTTTGGAAATCGATAAAATTATCTTGGTAACGTGACGTCACGATGTTATAATATAAATGGTATTCTGCTATATTGTTATTTATAATTGACTTGTCAAGATTAAAAAATAATGAATATGTAAAAATAAAATTTTCGAAAATAACCCAATTCTTCGACTGTTTTTTTTTACTTGTTATAAACCATATTATAGTATAAAGTTCATAAAATTATTTTTAAAATTTAAAATTCTCATATGTAGTATGTCCGTAACCTCGATTTTCAAACGATTTAAATACTTTTATGTACTCCTACATTGACAAGCTGTGACTTTATAGCGTTTTAGTCACGGGCTTAAGTTAGAAACAGTGGCTTTTGGGCATTTTAGTCACGGGCTGAAGTTATCTTTATTATAAATTGCGAAAAGGTAAGGTTAAATTCGTCAAATGTCAAAAATTTATGAATTAAAATTGGCTTTAAATTCTTATTTTTGTTCGTCGTAGATAAAGTATAGTATGAAACTCGTTTTATAAACTTCTCTAGAGACTCGTTTTTATTAAACACTCGCTCGCAAGCTTCGCTCGTGCCTAATAAAACTCGTAACTAAAATGGCGTTTATAAAACTTGATACATAATATACTATTTTCTACTCCCACCTTTAAAACGCCCTTTATCGTACATGTTTCC